ATTATTTTATTGTATTAACTGCAGGAAATGATATTCCGCGGTACGGACACAACTGCTCTTCTGACCGAGTGGGCAATGGCCGAGCTCATCCTCAACCCACGTGTCCAGGAGAAGCTCCGCGAAGAGATCGACTCCGTCGTGGGGCCAGCGGGAAGCAAGGTCTCCGACGCAGACGTGGCGCGGATGCCGTACCTCCAGGCAGTCGTGAAGGAGACCCTTAGGGCCCACCCCTACGATGAAAAACGTGTCGGTCCCAGCCGGAGGGGTTTTAAGCCCGAAGGAGTTCGCCTTGGAGGCCGAAGTGGATACCGGCCCACGTGGACATCCGCGGCGTCGCGACTGAGGGCCTGGCCCTTCGGGCGCGCGCAGGCGGGTGTGTCCGGTAAGAGGTTAAGAACCTGGCGCAGGGCAGGTGGCACCGTGGTCTGGCTGCGCGCACTGTGTGGCCTTGGCGGATAGCGAAGTTGGTGCGCGATTTCGAGTGGGGCCCGGTCCAGTGGGCCCCGGTGGACCTTGACGAGGTGCTGAAGCTCTCCTGCGAGATGAAGAATCCGCTCACCGCCGCTGTGGTTGCTAGAGGGAATTAATGTCGACGCTGTTGATTTAGTTTGAGAGTATATGGTACTGTTTAATTAAGGTCTTGAGTGTTCGTAGTTAGGGTGAACAGGGTTTTTATAAAAAAACGAAGTCTATGAAATTGTTGCCGAGGGCTGTGTGGGGTCTAGGGTTTTGGATGGGGACTCCATTTTTTTGAGCTGGGTCTTGACGGGTCGATGGAGTTTCCTTTGTTTTAGTATCTAGTCTGGTATGACACCTGGGAAGTCTTATGAAAAGGGTTTGTAATGGTTTGTTTATTATGGAGTTATAAAAAGAAATTAGCGTCGTTGCGATATTTTGTAGTTTCCCTTCGATTTGTGTTTGGTTCTTGTTTTTTATTGGAGTTCCTTCTGTTTTCTTTTCGTGGTATGTTCTCAGTTATATGCCATTTTTACATTATTCAATATTACGCAGTGTTTTAGCAAAAAGATTAAAACACGGGGCCTCTTCCTATTCTTTTCTTTTTATTTATTATTCTCCCTGTATTTTATTTCGAGTTAATGGCGGCTGTAAAGGAGCTTTGATGCTTCGTTAGTTGTGATGTATGACCTGCAAAAGATGTGGGTACGCATGTTTAGGAATGCAACCTGCCCCCCATGGGGGGCGAGCTCCTCGATAATATTAATTACAACGGTCAATTATTTAATTGATAATTTCAAATTTCTTTTCTTGATTAATAAGTTGAAAATGAAAGATTGACGCGAAGTTAGGTACATCTGCTCTCTCTTCCACAACTTGATATTTTTCCATGTAATTGCGGTTAATATTCTCTGTAATTAGGTTGTAATCGGACGGAGGAGGACCGAGTACTCAAAAAAAGTCTTAGCCGTTTATTTTAAGTTTAATGAATAGGACATGGCCTCGTAGAAATTTTATTATTCACAAAAAGAAAAACAATTCATTAGTGGGTTTTAAGAAATAATGTTTTTGTAGATAATAGTTGAATCTCATGTGTCCACATCCTAGCCAGTGAAATTGGAATCAATGGCTACAGTTTGAGTAGTTTGGCCCTCTCCATAGCTGTAGAGGGGAGCCGATTTTCATTAATGACCATCTGCAAGTACTTTAATTAAATCTGCATGTATAATCTATAGAACAAAAAAGTTGTTTTGTTAAGAATAAAATTGGGAGTTGAAATCACGTGAAGTTTGTGTGCAAATTCATGGGATTGCAACTATCGTGAAGTTGGCAGAGAGCAACTAACAAAGAGCTCTAAGTGAGCTCTCTACCTAACGAACTTGCATCTTCACGGGATTTCAAATCCCGTGAAATCTGCATAGGCCACACTCACCAACTTCTTTATATCTCTCACCTCTCATGTGAGCTCATTTCTCGTTCACTCTCTCTGTGTGTGTGTGTATGTTTGCTCATTTACCCCAAACCCTAGGTCCTCTCCCGTCGCCACCGCCAGCGGCTGTCTCCGTTCTCACCATCGCCGCCATCGACCTTTTTCAGGTTAAAAAGTGTTGAAGTTTGTCGGAGCTTGTCGGATTTTAAATTTAGGGCATCGGCAATTTTTTGGTAAAATCTTTAAACTTTTTTTATTTTTTCTCTTAAATTTTTTACATATTCTCACTATTTCATCATAATAACTTGTTTAAGTTCAGATTTTAAAATAATTTTTAAAATATTTATGAATTTTGTGAAGAAAAAATAAAGAAATTTGTATATGAAGTTAGAGGGGGAAATTAGGGGAAATTATAAAAATTTGTGTATTCTTTTAAGTTTTAAAAGTGAATATTGTTTAATTATTTAAATTAGGCAATCGTAAAAATATAAAGATTTGATCTATGGTAAAAATTATGGATGTGAAAAATTAATATTAGGGGATTTAATTGTAAATAATATTTTTGTGTCTTTCGTGTAATATTAATATTAGAATTTTTTACTCTTCAGAGGTAACGGATGAACGATCGAATCATAATTCTTTGTTCGTATGATGAGAATATTAACTATTTTGAGAATAATATGTCTCTATATGAAGGAGGTGTGACGAAACTGCTGTTTATATTCAAATAATGTACTTTCGATGGATTGCTTAATGACTCACACAAACTTATATTAATTAATCCATGTGAGTATCACCTCAATATGATTTGTAAGAGCATCTCCAACAGCTTTCCCAAAATTTTCTCAAAAATGAAGAAACAAAAGTCATATTCTCCAAATTATTTTTGCTCCAACTCCAACAACTTCCCTATTTTAAAAAATCGTATTTATTACAATAATAAAGCTCTATCCAAAAATTTGGAGAATGCTGCAGATTTGGGGAAGGCTCCCTATTTTTTTTTCCTCATTCCCTATTTTGAGGAATGAGATGGGGAATCTGTTGGACCAAAAAAACCCTCTATATTCCCCAAAATTTAGTATTTCAAGAAGATGGGGAAGCTGTTGGAGATGCTCTAATTATCCCACTACGGGGAGCAGAACAAAGCGGCATTCAAATCTCAAGTGACTACGATATGCGTTTCATTGGAATATTAAATGACGGGAAGTGTTTGATTGACTTATTTATTGAAAAGCATCACAGAAATTTGGGCAAAGTGGTGAATCATAATGTAGTATATTCTCGCATGTTGGAGGACCTTGAAGTTGACTCTATTAAATTTTTTTATCTCCGCAATAGGATATGGGATGAATATAGTCACAATACTTTAGCGGTCCTTTACTTGTGGGGACTTCAAGTACTTTCAATGATAACGCTCCTCATCAAGATATAAGACCTTCAATAGGAGTGACGATAGACGATGATAATGTAAGTGTTGAATCCGAGAATGATAATGAAGAGGATGGCTTACAAACTAATAGCGTGACGTGTTTGATAGATCGTGATGAAGGGAAAACCAATTAATTAATTAATGTCATTCTAACAATGAGTATGTCGTATTAGAGGATTCGCCCCCTGATGATCTTCATGGAGATGGAATAATATTCCTATTGACACTAATTTAAATGATGATACACAAGGTGACGACTTCTCATTTAGAAAGGACGGTCTATTTGAAAGCAATGAGAAATTGATTCATGCGTTTTGTTTGTGGGCCTAAAAAAATGTTAAGTTTTGACAAACAAAAAGCAATGCAGTAAGCTATAATGTAATTTATTTTTACTGCAAAGTTGGTGTGGAAAAAGATATTAGTGTCTCCATGCCAAAAATACAAAGTACTCTTGGAAGCTTAATTCATGCTTAGGGGCAAGAGTAGGCGGGCAATTTAAAATAACACACTACAACAAACTTCACACATGTAGCAATTCTCGATTAGAGATGGATCATAAATACGTGTCTGCCTTTTTCATATACCGATTGATTAATACCTAAACTAAGGAAGGTTTTTAATTTAAAACCAAAGAATATTCATATTTTAGTGCATAATGTGATCAACTTGGATGTATCATACAAAAAATATTGGAATGCTCAGAGGAAGACGATGATAAGAAATATTCGAACATTGAGACACTACCACAAAATAGGTCTATGGGGACGGTTCGTTGGGGGCGGTTTAAAACCGTCCCCTCAGCTGTCTAAGGAAACGGTTTTGTGACGGTTCTAACCGTCACAATAGAGTCTAAGACAACGCTTTAAAATAAAGCGTTGGATTTGAATTAGTTTTGGGAATAAATTCTCTAATACGCTAAAGGCACGGTTTTTTATGGGCTTTATGGTGGCCCCTAAACAAACACTAATGTTTTTCTCTCGTATATACTGGCCGCTCTTCACCCAATCGATCAACAACAAATCCTCGAAGCTAGGGTTTTCTCGCCGTCGTCTCCTGGACTGAACGAAATCCGCCGCCTCTTATCCTCCACTCGAACTTCCCGCACATCTCTACGCCGACCTCGATGGTGTCGAGATCCCTCCGGATCAGCAGCTGCTCATTTTCGCGGGAAAGCAGCTCGAGGATGGCCGGACCCTGGCCGATTACAACATACAAAAGGAGTCGACGCTCCACCTCGTCCTCTGCCTCTGCGGTGGCGCCGAGAAGAGGACTTAAAAGTTCACTCTCCAATGGTTAAATGAGAGGGCGCTATCTCCGGCTTCTTCTTCATTCAGAAATCAGAATTCGATCGAGGCTTCACCCAGGGTTAGGGTTCGAGAGCTCAGAGCTAAAGGTCAGGTATTTTATTTTATTACACTTTAATCTATTGTTTGTGAAAATGAACTCCAGGGTTTTGGTTTCTTTCAAAGTATTTCCCTTTGCAAATTTCAAAATTAATAATTGGAATTCTGCGTGAGATAAAAGAGAGAAAATTTTCCTCCTTTCACGGGAACTTCTCATTTAATTTTTGTTGTTTTTGTTTGTAATTCCCAATTTGTGAAAATCTAGGGTTTTGTTTTCGTTCAAAATGTTTTCATGTTTGACGATATTACTCTTTTCGGTGGTTAAATAGTGTACAAGGAGATTATGATCGGCCTTCAGAGGACAACTTCTGGTGTCTTGTTTTGTGCTCTGTTCTCGATATCAGCTTATTGTCAGAGCTTTGCCTATGATTTGGAAGTAAATCAGACAGCATTCCTCAAGATAGATGCATCACCACAATCAGGGCGGAAGATTCCTGACCATCTATTTGGTATATTTTTTGAGGTGAATTTCTTTATTTCTTATGCTTGTGGAGATGTGTTCTAAAATAGTTTATAATTGGCCATGAACACTGCAGAAAACCTACTAAATGAATTTAAGCTTCTTTGAGACATTGATGTTTGTGACACCTAATATCTTCAATTATATTGGCGGAAACGAAAACACTACGCTCTCGTTAAGTTATTTCCTCATTTCATTAACTTATCGTTCTGTGGAAGGAGGAAGTGAATATGCTTTGAAGAATTAAGCCTGAGAGGCCTTTTTGCATTACCCAGAGGTATTTGATCTTATGAGGAACAGTGTTATGATTTATGCAGTGAAAGATTGCTGTAATGCAGGCTATTTACTATTTTCTTTTCAGAATTTTTATTGATTGAAATAGAGAAACAACATATTAATTGCGAAGTGGTAGTTCATTAATCATTCATTTGATTCTGACCTCAGTCTGCATATGAATGAGCTTTTGATGTTGTCCAATTTACACTAGATCGTCAAACATAGCATCTGAAGTGTATCACATGTATCTTTTAAGTTCATCGTTTATAGACGTGTTAGCTCTACCAATATTTATAAGGAAATGGCTTTTCTGTGTCATTGTGTTCTCGAAGGAACAAGTTAAAAATGCCACATTAGGACTTCTATACTTGAAATCCCTTGCATGGTTTGGTTGCACTAAAATTTTAGTAACTATAAATTCCTCAGTGACTGTTTGTTTCTTTATTCCGACATCTTCCATGTAGGAGATCAACCATGCAGGAGCTGGTGGGATATGGGCAGAGCTTGTCAGCAACAGAGGTAATAATCAAAATGGAATCACACAATGACAGTAGAAAAGAAAACTAGGAGTTCCATAGTGACTATTATAAATGTTTTAGGTGTCACAGAAAATAATAACATTCAGATATACATAATATGTCATTTCCAGCCCATGCATGTAATATAACTCGACTTCATAAGCCGTTCTCTGGTTCACCTATAAATGACATCTTTTCAAGTTTGACCAAAATGGCTTTGCACCAGAGTGCTGCAGGGCTGATCCACAAGTATTACAAAGACATATAGACAAGCTTTTATTGTATAATAGCAACTAGCTGCTATAATGTACTGAGGCAATCCCTCCTAAATGATAACAAGTTCTGTATACAAACTTTGATGTGTTTATTGTATTCAATAACCATGAATGAATGATAATTCAAGGTTTTTTTTTGTCAAGAACCTTGTCATACTCAAATTTAGATTGGAGATAAAACATTCAAATTTGTAAATTCAATGATTCATGTTGTCTTAAATATTTCGAAACTAAAGAAATTTCAATTTAGGTCCTCATTAGAAAGCTGATACTGCAATTGTAACTCTTGTTTTCTACTGCAAGCAACCTGGAAAATAAACCTAAGTTTCAGTTTTAGATATTTTCACGTAATTGGCTAGATTAAGAGATTATAGAAGAGATCAAGGAGTTAGGATTATAGTTCTTGGTGGAAATGAACTAACATTTAAACTAACAAAGGAATTAGAAATATTGTACCATACTTCAGTTTGTTACGTCCAATTTCATATTTAGTATTTAAGATATCAAATGGTTGGATTCATTTAAATTTGAATATTACTGACCAAAGAAATGAATGATTTTCCAGTGATTCGTGTTGTTTTCTTTTGATGATTTTTCTCTCTCTGTTTGAACTCCTCACAACTTGTATTTTTAGGATTTGAAGCTGGAGGGCCAAACACTCCTTCAAACATTGATCCATGGGGCATCATTGGGAATGAAACTTTCATTAATGTGTTAACTGATTGGTCATCTTGTTTCAATCGTAACAAAGTTGCCCTTCGTATGGAAGCTCTTTATGACCCGGTGGGATACTTAGACAGTGGTGTTGGCGTATATAATCCCAGAATATTGAACAAGGGAAGACAAAGTTGTTCTTCACGTTATGTCACCTGGCTCATTGAACTTATCAGTTTCTCTTACGAGTTCAGATGGAATGCTGACCATGGCTTCTAATAATATAATGTGAGATCTCATTAATGATTAACTGTTTCATATTCAAGTTTATTTTTTTTATGCATAACGTGCTTCTCCTCGCAGAGCTTCAGCTTCACAAGTGTCAAATTGGACAAAAATAGAGTTTCAGTTGGAATCGAAAGGAACAAATAGTAATTCCAGACTTCAGTTAACAACCAATCACAAATGAGTTATCTGGTTGGATCCAGTATCAGTGATGCCTACAGACACCTATAAGGTAGATAGTATATACTTGATGCAAATAATTGGATTTCGTATAGTTTTTTTTCGAATCCGAGTGCCATTTAAATTTGTATTCAAGATCTTAGAAATTTCGTATAGTTTTTTTTTTCATATCTATATCAATTTGAAAAAGAGAACAAGGATGTGATATGGTATTTTGGGATTTGTGTTACCTTCAACCATATCAGAGCTGAAATATATCCTACCATATTGTTAATATTTTTTTTGTAGGGGCATGACTTTCGGAAGGAACTCATTTCAATGATAGAAGGAATACAACCCAGATTTATAAGATTTTTATGTATGTAGTCTCACTATAAATCATAAAGTTTCTTATCGGTTTGTCATTATAAATCATAAATGTTTCTAATCAGTTTGTCCTTCTTACAAGCAAAAGTGGACATGAGATCTTCTATTCTATAGTTGTCCAGTACTCTTTTGACATACCTGCTGCAGTTATCTCTATTCAGTAATCAACCCTCAGAAAGTCAGCTAATGACTATATAAAAAGATAATTGCTAAGTTCTATCAGGAATATTTCATGCTTATTACATTGAGAGAATCACCTTCAGCATATTCTAAAAAAGTGGAATTTTTATCTGGAATGACAGTTTACCTTAATGCATACCATGTTGATAGGATCTTGTGCATTAATCATTCCAGACATCCTTTCGTTTCCTTACATATGCTTTAGTGTTCATACAGGTATTGATGGTAAAGCTTAATCTTCCTAGAACGATGAATTTCCGGACCTCATAAATTTTGAATATGCCCATAAATACTTGGGATAAAAGAGAGCACCAATATCTAATGCTAGATACTTGATCACTTAATGAACACTGATTGAATACTTCTTTGATTTATCCTAAACTTGACATAACATCCCGGATGCCCCAAAGGCTTGTAAGAGATGTAACTGAGACATAGAAGTCAACATCTAGTACATGACTGGGTTCAGAATTTGTTATCCTAAACCAAGGATATAGTCTTTCTTCTTATATATATGTAGGATTAACGTATGACCTTCATAGAGGCTGATCCACTATGTGACGGTGTCCTTATTATTAATTAAGCATGTATTTCTTGAGGTCTGGACTGACAGCAACCCAAAATCTTGATTCACTTGGATATGCAATTAAACACCCAACAAATATAGATCTATGTAGTAAAAGCCATGTGTCAGGTTTATATGGTTATTATTCTTATGCTGTGTTCCATCTCTTTCTTGGTTAATATATAGGAGTTTCTTAATTCTTCTTGTAAACTACAGAATGTTGTCTGCTATTGATAAGAACTTACTTTAGTGATCAATGATATAATGTGAATTCCTAAATACAACTGTGTTGGATTCGAAATTTCTACTACTAACAACCAAGTAGATAGAGTATATGTGAGAACAATTATTTGTTTTTTGCTTGCATGACTTGGATTATTAACCTCTCAAGATGTGGTCTTATTTAGAGCTTATTTTCTTAGCACTAAGTTATGTTCTTTCAACTCTTATGCAATATGCTTATCTTTCTATCTTAATGTATGCAGGAAAACATCTGAAGATCCATGCTTATCGCTCTTTGTGGGATTTATTTGTTGTGAAGATTTAAAACTTAATCGTCTCAATAGAGACCTTTTGATTAAGTAGTAGCTCTTTGTTTTAATCATTGAGGAATTGTGATATGTACTTTGGACAAAAGAAAAAACTTGTGATGAATCTCAATCGCATTGCTATAATATTGTTCTTCATTGTAATGAATTGTTCATTATTAGTTTGTGTGTAAAACTTGGACTATTGTTTCTTTGTATGTGATGGACTAATGTGTGATATCTGGATGATTTGCTTTGATTGATAAAAATTAAATAGTAATTCCAGACTTCAGTTAACAACCAATCACAAATGAGTTATCTGGTTGGATCCAGTATCAGTGATGCCTACAGACACCTATAAGGTAGATAGTATATACTTGATGCAAATAATTGGATTTCGTATAGTTTTTTTTCGAATCCGAGTGCCATTTAAATTTGTATTCAAGATCTTAGAAATTTCGTATAGTTTTTTTTTTCTTATCTTTTGTGTTACCTTCAACCATATCAGAGCTGAAATATATCCTACCTTATTGTTAATATTTTTTTGTAGGGGCACGACTTTCGGAAGGAACTCATTTCAATGATAGAAGGAATACAACCCAGATTTATAAGATTTTCAGGTATGTAGTCTCACTATAAATCATAAAGTTTCTTATCGGTTTGTCATTATAAATCATAAATGTTTCTAATCAGTTTGTCCTTCTTACAAGCAAAAGTGGACATGAGATCTTCTATTCTATAGTTGTCCAGTACTCTTTTGACATACCTGCTGCAGTTATCTCTATTCAGTAATCAACCCTCAGAAAGTCAGCTAATGACTATATAAAAAGATAATTGCTAAGTTCTATCAGGAATATTTCATGCTTATTACATTGAGAGAATCACCTTCAGCATATTCTAAAAAAGTGGAATTTTTATCTGGAATGACAGTTTACCTTAATGCATACCATGTTGATAGGATCTTGTGCATTAATCATTCCAGACATCCTTTCGTTTCCTTACATATGCTTTAGTGTTCATACAGGTATTGATGGTAAAGCTTAATCTTCCTAGAACGATGAATTTCCGGACCTCATAAATTTTGAATATGCCCATAAATACTTGGGATAAAAGAGAGCACCAATATCTAATGCTAGATACTTGATCACTGGTTGAATACTTCTTTGATTTATCTTAAACTTGACATAACATCCCGGATGCCCCAAAGGCTTGTAAGAGATGTAACTGAGACATAGAAGTCAACATCTAGTACATGACTGGGTTCAGAATTTGTTATCCTAAACCAAGGATATAGTCTTTCTTCTTATATATATGTAGGATTAACGTATGACCTTCATAGAGGCTGATCCACTATGTGACAGTGTCCTTATTATTAATTAAGCATGTATTTCTTGAGGTCTGGACTGACAGCAACCCAAAATCTTGATTCACTTGGATATGCAATTAAACACCCAACAAATATAGATCTATGTAGTACAGCAACCCAAAATCTTGATTCACTTGGATATGCAATTAAACACCCAACAAATATAGATCTATGTAGTAAAAGCCATGTGTCAGGTTTATATGGTTATTATTCTTATGCTGTGTTCCATCTCTTTCTTGGTTAATATATAGGAGTTTCTTAATTCGTCTTGTAAACTACAAAATGTTGTCTGCTATTGATAAGAACTTACTTTAGTGATCAATGATGTGAATTCCTAAATACAACTGCGTTGGATTCGAAATTTCTACTACTAACAACCAAGTAGATAGAGTATATGTGAGAACAATTATTTGTTTTTTGCTCGCATGACTTGGATTATTAACCTCTCAAGATGTGGTCTTATTTAGAGCTTATTTTCTTAGCACTAAGTTATGTTCTTTCAACTCTTATGCAATATGCTTATCTTTCTATCTTAATGTATGCAGGAAAACATCTGAAGATCCATGCTTATCGCTCTTTGTGGGATTTATTTGTTGTGAAGATTTAAAACTTAATCGTCTCAATAGAGACCTTTTGATTAAGTAGTAGCTCTTTGTTTTAATCATTGAGGAATTGTGATATGTACTTTGGACAAAAGAAAAAACTTGTGATGAATCTCAATCGCATTGCTATAATATTGTTCTTCATTGTAATGAATTGTTCATTATTAGTTTGTGTGTAAAACTTGGACTATTGTTTCTTTGTATGTGATGGACTAATGTGTGATATCTGGATGATTTGCTTTGTTTGATAAAAATTGAAAACCGTCCCCTTTGCTATATATAAACGTTCCCATATCTTTAAATCTGAAAACCGTCTCCATTGCTAACCGTCCCCATTGCTAAAAACCGTCCCCATAGCTAACCGTCACCTTTGGTATAAAAATCGTCCCCCTAGAACACAAATAAAACCGTTCCCATAGAATAACCGTTACCATTTACAAAAATATGAACTGTCCCCATAGGTAAAACGTCCCCATAGGTTATAAATAGGAACAGTTTAAGAACCGCGCTATTTGGATCATGAACTGTCGCGTTAGACCAAGCACTACGGCCACAAAGGTATCGGATGAGTAACCGTTCCCGTAGGCCTATGGGGACAGTTTTATTATCTAGCGGGACGGTTATAAACTGTCCCCATAGACCCATTTTTTGGTAGTGAGACTAATCTTATGAGATCTACCACATGATTTTGAAGCACTCAAAATATATTTATATGGGGATTGTGTACAAAATATCATCAGATCTCGTTGACAACAAAGGTCGACGATTCACGAGGGTATTTTGGGCATTACATCGAGGGATTCAAATATTGTTGTCCTATTCTTAGTATTAACCAACACCCGCTCGTATGGTAAATATAAATGTGTTTTTCTCATTGCAACCGGAGTATACGTAGATGACAGTTTATTTTCTTTGGCATTTGCAGTGGTTGATGTTGAAAACACAAAAAAAGGGGCATGATTTTTTGCATGCATCAGACATCATATCTCTGGTGTGCGAATATGGTCGTTTATATTCATATCTGATAGGATGAAATGAATTCTAATAGCACTTTAATGATTTTTTTTGTCACTACTTCAACATTGCTATTGCT